CAAAAATACTAACACTCTGTCTAAACCAAATACTTACTAAACACCAAATTCTTTTAAAAAACAACAATGTAGCCCTTTCATTTACATCAACCCTTCAACTAATTCAAACTGAAACTCATATCATTGAATATGCAAATATCACCAACAAAGAATATTGGGTTTTTGTACAAGATATGTCTAAGGCATATGACACTGTCCACATCCCCCTTCTTATAAAAACCTTGCAAAGAATCCACATCTCAGAAAAAATTACTAACCTTCTTAGCCATCTCCTAAATAGCAGAAAAAATACTATAATAACCGATATTGAAATAACTAAACTCTATACAGTACAAAACAAAATTAACCAAGGAGAAACCTTCTCCCCAATACTTTGAAGGATATACTACAATCCATTAATTAGCCGAATCGACACCACCTACCAAGGATATCTGCTAGATACAAACACTCCCTTCAGGGCTATATCAACACATACTTTAGTAGTAGCATATATAGACAATACTATGTGGATTGCAAAAACAAAAACAAACTACAAGACATACTTGAAACAGTCGACTCCTTCTTATCTTATACAAATATCAAAGTCAATCCACACAATTCAATATTAATATCCAATAACCTCAACCCACAAGCATCTATTACATTCTGTGGACAGACCATCTCTAATATCAAACCAAAAGATATCTTCCATCACCTGGGTGTTTGGCTCACCCGAGACCTCTTATTAAAAGCAGCAAAAACTCTTATCATAAACAAAATTACAACCAATATTAACAAAATCCAATATGCAAAAATTACAGATAAACAAGCTATCTACATCATTAACAATATAATTCTAACATGGACCACATACCAGATGCAAAGCACACATTTAACAAAATATGTATGCTCTAAAATTACAAGACTTTATACTAATATAGTAAAACAAAAAGCATAGCTTGCCCGATCCACGCCCAATTCGACAATCTACTACCCTGCAATATATGTGCTAAATACACTTTATAACATCCAACAACAACAACAAATTAGAACTTTGGATCACAGCATCCACTTACATGACTTCGATAATTCAAGCATCAAGATATAGCTATAACAACTCCAAAACACAGCCAATTCAAACCAATCCATCTTCTCCAAACAACCAATCTTTCCCACAAATAAATACAAAACAAATACTGCATAACTAATAATAATACTTTATAATCTAAATATCCAACTAGCATGCCCAACCAACCCATGGCCAATTCTAAAACAACTTAAAGGCATCTCAATCAACTCAATCCTAATGTTAACCAAACAACCAGCTACAATTAAACACAAATTAAATATACATAATATCACCTGCATAAAACAATTTCTAGACTATACTAACACCCACACCTTTAACTGGCACTCATTCTACCATAATATCCAAAAAATTTCTAGAGGAAAAATCTCTCGCTGGTTCAAAAATATCACTGATAAGATAACTGACCTTGCCAACCCATTCACTACACTAATTTTTTCTAACCTATTCACATTTACACCAATTAACTCACATATCTGTAAATAGATTATTATTTATTTTAAAAAATTTGGCAAAATTACCAGCATGACAAACAATTCAGCAAGAATCAAACACTACACCCAACACCCACTCAATCCAAAACAACTTGTTCTCTGTTTGGAATGTTAGGAAAAAAAACTACTTACTCAAAACCAAATTCTGTTTCTTTACAGCTCTAATAATATCAATATACAATATCCAAGTTAACTACAAGAAACAAATCTACGAACAACTCAGCTGCCTACTGCAGCTATTAATATCGCATCCTTCTCAAATATACAATACACCTCCCTCCCTACCAATGATAGACTACTATACCACATACTACTTCCTACAACTATTTGATGATATTAAAACCCAAATTTGGACACTATATACTAACTCTACTTTCCCTAAACACATACAAGTATATATTACAGCCAAATCAAAAAAGATAAACTCAGCCAACAAGAAAAAAACTCCTTTTTCACAGATTCATTTCCAACACAACCAGCAAATCTGGCATACTACAAACAAATCCTTCCCATCCCATACCATGCTATATTTACAATACTAGCAATAATTTACACTATTCTCCCTCTTCAAACAAAAATAAATATCACTACCAACAAAAGATGGCTACAATCAAAAATTCAATCCATACTTAATCTTTCATCATATCACCAACAATACCTTCACAAAATCCCATTTAACAACATAATATCAACAATAAGAGCAATCATCTTGGCTAAAGACCACATCATCAACACAAACCTATCAAAAAAAAAAATCAAGATTCTAATACCAAATCTCCAACTACACACTAACCTCTCAACACAAGCAGTATTAAACTCCAACTTTACATCCTGTATCAGCAGCATTCCTACAACATATTCAATCTATCAAATACCTAAAATCATTCAAAAAGCAAAAGCTATTATCTAATAGAATGAACAAAACTAAATCAAATCAATCATACAAAGACTTCCAAATATTAACCGGAAACTAAGCTTTGACTATCTAAATTCAGAACAATTTACTCAGTCGAAATACCTGCTCTATCAAATCAATCTTAAAAACTTTCAAAGTAAAACTACTAACTTCTGAACTGCCAACTCACTTACATCTATACCACAGAAACTCATCAACACACCCCAATCCTTTCTGTATGAAAAGCTTTCAAATACTTGAAGATATAGTCCACATGCTTACATACCTATATAATCCATTTAATATTAAAATATACTATCTTCTTGCTAATATAACAATGTATTTGCAACCTTGCAATGCAGGTATTATTTGGAGTTTTAAAGTATATTATTATAAACTATTTTGTAAAAACCATATTGCAACTTATGAAGAAGCAATTGAAACAGGTAAAGATACATTAGCTTTTAATATTAAAGATGCTATTTATCTTTCTGCTAAAGTATAAAAAAAAGTTACCAATAGTACAATTCATAATTGTTGGATTAAAACTGAAATTTTTCCAGATAATTATTTTTCTTTGAATAATTCTTTATCAACTATATAAAAACTAATAGAAAATTTTAAATTAGTCAATCTTACCTTACAAAGATTACAAGAATTAAAAGATACTGATATTATAACAGAAATTCAGTCTCTAATTAGTCAGCTTCTAGTAACTAACCCAATAAAAGCAAAAAATTTTATTGAAATTGATTATAGTGTTAAAACAGATATAATGTCTAGTAATAATAAAATTATTAATACTATACTTGATAGTGACTGCAATAAAGATGATAAAAATGAATCTGAAGTTTGTATTTCTTATAAGAAAGTTATTACAAATATTAATAATATTTTACTTTTTATTAATCAAGATGATAGATTTAAAGTAGATGAATTTTTTGTAAAAAAGCTAAATAGGTTTAAAAAAGATGTAGTTAGAGATAGTATTGCTAAAAAAAGACAAATAACTATAGATTTATATATACAAAATTAGTAATTTTAAATAGAGAACTTAATTATTTAATTATAATAATTTGGTTTATCAATTTAAAATAAATAAAATTTAAAGTTTGCTTATTTGAAGATTAAATAAAAAATTTATTTTTTAAACTTGAAAGATTTCTATACAGTTAATATATACAGTTAATCTTTTTAAGTGCAATTTGTTAAACTAGGCTTTTAGTAATATGTGCTTAGAAAACAATTTAAAAAAATTGCATTTACAAAACCAAAATATATACTAGACACATACTTAGATTGAAGATAAAATTTAATTAGAAAGTTTTAACTATAGTTAATTTTGTTTGTAAAAAAATAGCTAGCTTATTATATATAAAGTATTATTACTTAATTGCACTAGCTTTGTAATATAGCAAAAATTTTAATAATTGATAATTGTTTATTATATTTAAAAATATTTAATATAAGAAAGTTTTTTTTTAAATATATAAACTTTCTTCTAACAAGAGTCTTTTGCTATAAAAAACTCTTAATATAAGAAAGATTTTGGTTGGATCCAGAAACCTTTTTTTTTTTTTTTTTTTAAGAGAGGTCTTTCCTCTTTTTCTTTTTTTCAAAATATATAATTAGATACAACCTTACAAATTTATACATTTAACGAAAGGGAGTAGAAGTTAGGGCTAGGATTTACCCTCAACCTATTCT